TTGGCTCTGCTATTAGAGGGCGCTAGGGAGAGAGTAGAAGGTTGGAGGAGGATGAAGGGACCCATTCAGTCAGTCCTTGCTTTCTGTGCCTATCTTTCTGCTTGTTATTCCCATGCACCCTAAAGACATTTTTATTCTGCAGTGCGGATCATTCTAGCAGCAGCTGCTGACTGCAGTTTTTCCAGTGCTCACAGAACCAACCAGTGTTCCTCTTCAGCAACACCAGCTCTAACCGGCTAGAACACCATTCTCAAAGGTTGGAGTGCCAGCTTCGGGGGCAATTCCTCTAGCTCAGAGACTGGACACCAGCACCAGCCAGGCAGTGAGCCTTCATCACTCCTTCTTTAAATGTCTAAGCTTTAGGGACGCCTGGGTGGCTGAGCAGTTGAGTATCTGCCTTCAGCTCAGGGTGTGATCCCCGGGTCCTGGGATCGAGTCCCGCATCAGGCTCCCTGCAGGAAGCCTGCTTCTCCCTCTGCCTATATCTCCCTCTGCCTGTGTCTCTGCCTCTTTCTGTGTCTCTCATGAATAAATAAAATCCTTTTAAAAAAATAAAAAAAATTTCTAAGCTTTAATCATCTCACATGCTTTGTTCCCCTAGTCTGAGTAGAGGCTGCTTCCTGTAGGTGCTATCTCCATGGACCTTAGTTTAGTACTCCCCGTTTTCCTTTCCAGTTCTTCAAGAATTTACTCATCAATTCTTTATCAATAGATCCTTTAATAGGGTAAATCTGTTCCTTTTTAGGGGAGGCTACAGGTCTTAAAACCTTTTACCAAAAGAAGCCTGTACTACTTTTTTTTTTCTTGTCCTTATAATCATGTCCACATCCTGCTCTACTTCAATGTTCAGATGCCAAATTGGTTTCCATAACTTTAAAGAGTTAGATGCTTTTAAACATTATGACAATTTTTTAAAAAAAATTCTGACCCTAAATCTATTGCTATAGCAGACATATTTAAGTTCTGTAACCATTTCCTTTTATTTTATTAAATTCAATAGATACTCTATATCTATTGTATGTATAAATTTCTCCAGGCTCTCAAGTCATGACTTTGAAATTAAGACATACTATCTAAGAGAACTATGGCCACCAAAAGATGCAAAGTGGCATCAGGAGTGGGGTAAAAAAGCAAGATAGTGATTTTCTAGGGAACAGAGACAGTAGGACATCAGGAGGAACAAAAGAAGGACAGGAGGTGGTGGCAACAGGAAGAGACATCAGGGGTGATGGAATATTCCCTAGTTATCTTTTCAAGTAAATGGAAAAGGAGGGCTTTAAAAGTTAGGCACTGTGCTTTATGACAGATGAGGACATGATGACCCTTCCAGAATGTCCAGCTTGACCTAAAGCATCTGATTTGGGACAACCTGGAATTCACTTCAGGAGATAGAATACTCAAGAAGATTTAATGATCTGCCCTCACAGACTAACTGGATGAATTAAAAAAAAAACAACAACAACAGGAAAACATCTTTCAAATTTACTTTAAAAGCTTTCAAAAATTCTATTTAAAGCTTAAAAAGCAGAAGGAGCAAGATTATAGTCAGAGAAATACCGTGAAATGTTTGGGGCAAGAATTAGGGTGAAGCGGGGAGGAAGGGAAGGATTGTGCGATTTGTTACCTAAGGGGTATAGTTATCCCCACAACATTATTTCCCAAGAACTTTCCAATCTTTAAGCTTTCTGCTTCTGTGCTTTCAAAAGCCAGCCTAGATATAGTCTTCTAAGTGTGTGATACAGAGGAAATGTGAGATGTATCACTGATTACTTTGAGTTCCCAACTGTCCTATTTTTATAGCTATCTATAGCTATGTAGTTGACAATAAACTATTTCATAAATGTCAGCCACTTCCCTCAAGTTTAAAATTGCTTGCTTTTTACCTGGGGAAACACTTAGGGAAATGACTTTAACTTTTTTTTTTTCTCTAATTCTTAGTTGTAGCAATCAGAGAAAATTTGATTTTTATAAAACTTCTTTCAAAGAGTGACTTGAATGTGGTAATTTACTTTTATTTTTTTGCTCTTACTTATTTCTACTTTTTATTTTTTTATTGTTTAAGCTTTTCTTTTTAAATTCCCATAGTTAACATACAGTGTAATGTCAGTTTCAGGTATATACAGCGTTTTGACACTTCCGTACATCACAAGTGCACTCTTAATCTCCTTCACCTATTTCCCCCCTCCCCCCACCACCTCCCCTCTAGTAACCATCAGTTTGTTTTCTAGAGTTAGGAGTCTGTTTCCTGGTTTGCCTCTCTCTTTTTTTCCCCTTTGCCTGGTAACCTACTTACTAAACTGAAACTTTCTAAGTAGGTAGAATAACAATGTATTTTGTTTTAATTTGAGGATTAGCAGTAGACTAATCAACCCATCTTTGCAAATCTGGAATAGAGTTAAAGTCTAGTCCCTCTTTTCTATGTGGGGTATCCCCTATCTGGGGCATCCCTGTTGGGGGCCCTTTTACTCCTTAATTGGTGTAACTCCAATAGGTGGAAAAGTCTGATGCTGAAAGCATTCATTTCTCATTGATTGAATGAAGACAGAGTTCTCCCAGTTGTCTACCTGAGGTATCACTAAATTGAAGCATGCCCACTGTGACAAGCCAAAAGAATCAAGAGCTGACCTAAATGGATGGAGGCACCCAGAAAGAACGTATTGAAGAAGGTGCATTTTGAGCAAAAGGAAAAGAATTAAATGATAGTAAGAGCAGAAAAGAATCTCATGAATGGAAACAAGTTATAAGAAAGCTTTATTTCAGATGAAATGAGTAGAAAAATGACAATAAGGATGTTTCACTAAACGTATCAGCATCTAGAAAGACAAACAGAATAGTGACTATTCCTATTTTGATATCTTTTCAGCTATTTATTTGGTAAATATTTACCAAGCACTGACTATTGTCAGTTGACTTCAGTACTTAGCTGGGGAGGAGACATGTATGTATAGATTTACATCATCTAATATATCTTTACATGAATGTCCTGAGTCTCACGTTGCCTATCCTTTTCCCTCTTTTTTGAACACTGCTATGACTTCCATGCTTCATCTTATTTAGTCTTTTCCACAGCTTTGTTAGGTTGAATATTATGCCTATTTACATGAGAAAACTGAGGATTAGAAGTATTTAGTGATTGGGCCCAAGGCCCAGGCTCACCTATCTAGAAACCAAACCCAGCTCTGACTGACTCCCAAAATACTCTTAACTGTAACACTAGCTTCCTGCCTGATTTGGGTAAAGTGATGGTGGGCCAGTGCCAGCACATTTACTTAACTAGATAATCTATTGCATGTGGTAATGAGGAATGATGTTTTTATTTTTTTTATTTTTTATATTTATTTATTTATTTTTTTTTTTATTTTTTTATTTTTTGAGAAATGATGTTTTTAAATGGGTATTTAAGAAAGGCATAAAACTGCCATTACTGAACTCAAGTGACAAGATGAAAGCAGGGACCGCAAAAGAGAATTCTAGACCTATACATTTAAGGACAGGAACTGGAAGCAACTACAAGTTTTGTTTTGTTTGTTTTGTTTAATAAAGGGGCAGTCCTAGCATGGTAGGAAGCAGGGTTACGTTCATGGGCAGTAGAAGAAGACCCCACTGACGTTGGAAAGGTGGATGTGAGGAGAGACGGTAAGGGCAGAGCTCCTAAGCTGGCACGCTCAGGAAACCAGGGATGGTGACTAGCCTATGTTTGACCAAAAAATCTAGAATGGAGTGATTATTTTGGGCATGGTTAAGAGGATGAATTTGAAATTCAATATTCATGTGATTAGGAGCTGTGTTGTGTACTGGAGAGTAAAATTTCAGGCCATCCTCTCCAGCTTTTATCCACCCCAAATTCAAACATTTTCTCCCCCACCATAGCAAAAAGACCAACACAGTTTTACAGGAAGGAACAATGTGGAAAGAGTGGGCCTATTGAACTTGGTGTTGATAGCTCAATCGTGGGTTTGGTTAGACGCCAGATCTGCTATCTCTAGCAGTCCTGTGCACTTTGTGGAGACTGTGTTTTCCCTTTTCCTCAATGATAGATGAGCTAGTTAGATGCCAGAGTCTCTCCGTCTTTCCTTCCTTCTCTCCCTTCTTCCCTCTCTCCTCCTTCCTGTTTTGGTTGGGGGAAAAGTTCATAGGATGTGCGTTTTTGTTACTGTGGCTGGTTCCTCAAGATACTGAATGATGATTTTACTTAGATAACTGACTCTAAACAATAGAATATAACTTAACTCGAGGTATATTTTAGAGATTTGTCTCTTTAACCCTGATAAATATCTTCCCTTGGGCTTCATTCTGTTTGTTTAGAGAATAATTTGTTCTGACTTTATATTCAATAAATGAATCACCAAAGTGTTCCAGCACCTATTAGACACCATTAAATCTATGGGAAGGTTTTCATCAGTGGAGTCTGTCTTATCTAGGCAGATTTTTCCTTATTAATTCAATCCAACAAGCTTCTCAAAATTCTGTTTTTGTGTAAATATGGGTACACATTTCCATTATTAACTTACAAAACTTTGTTCTCGTTAAAAACATCAACTTGTATTTCTTCCTTAAAAAAATAAAATTGTCAGAATTTTTACTTGAATTCTTACTTCTTGTCTTGAAAGAAAAATCAATAACCCCTATCCTCCCAGATCTATATTTATCACATTCTGCCTCCCTCCACTTCCCTGCTGAATAACAAAAACAATGGAGAAACAAACTCAAGAAATGGAAAGAAAGAGAGGAGAACGACTATAAGCCCCAAAGTCTGATTTGATTTCATAATAATGGGAAATTATGTTAACAGACTGATGGCATCTTACAGGAGGACCACATCTTTCGGAGTGAGAGTAATCAAGAGAAAATATAAACGTACTCAGCATACTGTCTACCAAGCATTTCGCACTGTTTTGCTATGAATGTCACAGCTGGTCACAGACATGCATGGTGAGGGATGATTCTGCACAAGGACAAGGTTACCAAGAGTCACACTAGTGCTGTCACTTCATACTTACGGCAACTGCCTCCAGGATTTGTTTAACAGCATCTGCAGCATCTCGTTCACTATAATATCCCTTCTCCACAATCCTAAAAAAAGAATCAGGAAATTCTTCTCAGACACATGCATTCAGGGGAATGGATATGAAAAGAGGTTAAATGAATTAATGTTAAGGAAAAGCTACACAACTGCAACAGGTTAGCATGACACGGGGGGGGGGGGGGGGAATATTTCCATGAACTGATACTCTAGAAACCTTGGGTGTCTTTAGGAAAATGAAAGCATGCATTTTGCCTAGGCTTGAACTCTCCATCCTATCTGAGGACAAAAAAAGTCTTTTAAAACTCTGTACTGGGAATTGTGTTAAACACATACCAAGTAGACAACATACCACAAATCATCCCACGTAATTGTTACACAGCTTCAATATTTATTAACTCATGGCCAGTGTTTTATCTACCCAATCAATTATTTATTTACCATCCTCTTTTTTTATTTTGAAGCGAATATCAGACATCTCAATTTCCTTCATAAATAAATAGTTGTCTCTAAAAAATAAAGGACCTTTTATAACTCCTAACTACAATGCCATTATACAGTTTCTTAATATTTTCAAATACACAGAGTTTCAAATTCCCAACTGTCTTGGACATGTTAAAATTTTTAAACTTTTTTTTTTACAGATTTTATCTGTTTATTTATTTATGTGAGACACAGAGAGAGAGGCAGAGACACAGGCAGAGGGAGAAGCAGGCTCCATGCAGGGAGCCCGACGTGGGACTTGATCCCGGGACTCTAGGATCACGCCCTGGGCCGAAGGCAGTGCTAAACTGCTGAGCCATCTGGGGATCCTGGACATGTTAAAATTTGTTTGGATTTGTATCCAAATAAGGTCCACATGATTTGACTGGTATCTGTGTCTTTTATCCTCCCTTTGCCTATAACTCCTCACCACCTCCTTCTGCCCTCCTCCTTTCTCTCCAACTGACTTTCTATTCCAAATAAATGACTTGTTCTTTACGCTTGGATGTGGACAAGGAATCTTTCTTTTCCTTTAAGAAATCCTTCTTTTAATTTAAGTCTTTTCCATTTTAATTTCAAGAATGTTTTCCTGAATCAGAATGCTTTATTTCTTTTCTTCCATTGCTTCAGTTTTCTTTTTTGGGGTATGCAATTATATGTATTAGGAGTTTTTCCACTTTCAATTTATATTGTTCTTTCTCCTATGACTTTCCTAATTTTAGTATTAAGTAATACTAACTTTAATATTCTGCAGATTATACTTTCATCTATTTTGTGGGCATATCCTCCTGTGACGCTGATTTTTTGTGCTCTTATAATTATTTTGCATTGCAATTAATGGAGACACCTGTCTGTTGCTGCTTACTTGTAAGCAACGGTGGTTTCCTTAACCTTTTTGACAGACTAATGGGTCAGGATATCTTTTCTAGTTTCATGGCTCTTGACAGATTACTTTCATGAAGCATTCAAAATTATGACCTCATATTTTCTGAGATCCCTTCTCCTCTCTCGGGAACTTCATCCCTTGCCTCTACATATCTGCTCTGGTTACTGGAGTCTCTTCCCAGCAGTTTCTACAATTTACCCAAGGGGGCTTCAGATATTAGTCTCAGGAGTTCACAGGGCTCTGACTGCATTAGTCTCTTCAGACCTTACTATGGGTACAGAGCTTGCGCTTTTCAGAAATTTGGAGGCAAAAAGCCTTCACAGTTTCAGCTGCTCTTGTATTGGCCCATTCTGCTTCTCAGTGATTTGGAGGCTTTGGAGATTTAAGTGTTCACCTAGTCTTAGGTTCATCAACGTCCTCTTGCTTCCTGTAACATAGATGCTAATACCACGTGGCTCTTGCAATTATCATTAGTTTGTCCTCATTCACTTGTTTTCTAGACTTCACAGGGAACCTTGTCACCTGGTTTTGTTAGATACTGTCTGTGAGTTTTTGTTTTTTCTGTCCTAGTTTCTCTGTCTATTCTTATAGGGATATTTGGAAAGACAGGAAAACCACATTGTTGCTGTTTCTATCTTCCCAAAAGTTCAAGAAAAAACATTTTTGATAGCACTGAAGATTACCAACTTGCATAAGGTGCTTTCAACTGACAAAAAGTTTATGGTGAAAACAGGTCTGAATAAAAGGTAAATTCAAAACATATAAGACACAAAACTTCAACAATTTTTGTGGTTTTGCACTGAAATTTTTAGACTGTTAATATCTTAAGTAGCACATTTATTTTTCAGAAAATATCTTCCTTTTTTTTATATGTTGTTGTAAAAAGTTGTAAATTCTTGAAGTAGCTGGTGTTAAAAGCTGGATTTAAAAATCTAGAAAATATTTCCAAAATAGGGGATGGATGATGAGGAAAAGCAGAAAAAAAAGCAGATATAAAATAAATAATACATAAGAAGATACCTTAAATGACCATAATTATTAAGATTCAAAAAAAACATACTGATGCAAAAATTCCAACTATTTTTTCTATGCAATTATTCAGAACATTGTAAAGAAACACAAACTCATCTTTTCAAAGGATGAAAGGTGGAACATCCTTCCTCACCTTTTTATTTATTGGATACCTGTTAAGTATCATATTTCAAATAAAATGTGAAAGTAGATTACAATATTCAGGAAGTCAATATTAACTGGCTCTTGAAAATCAATTTTCATACAATATTTCCTTACAAGATTACACATTCCTCCAATTTATGATTAAGTTATGATGTCTACTTATTAAAAGTTTAATTGAAGTAATTACTTGTACTATACTTTCTGAACATGTAAAAATTAAGCACGAGAGAAGAGGAAAAGAAGGACGACTATGTCAGGGTAAGTCGAGAACTTAGGCTACCATTACATCAGCCTCTGCATTTTGTTCTAAATGTGGATTTTGTGGTACGTCCATGAACCAACTCAAATGTAATTAGTGTCTCTTCTGTGTGTGGCACCTGCACTCTCAGCAGCTTGGCTTTCTCCAGTCCTGTTAAAGGAGGAGAGTTGTTACAAAGATGGTGGAAAAGAAGAGCTGATAGTTAACTTTATTTCTACATCCCATTCTTCTCAGAGGAGGATAAAAATCAGCTACCTCCTGGCCTGTGAAAATCAGTGTCAATTTCCCCGATGGCCACTCACCAAGGCTAGAGCTTTCTCACAACAACTTCGTGGTACCTCTCTAGGGGGTGCTACTGATGGCTTAGTCTTTGTTGAGCGCTACTCCTTGGGGTTGTCCAGAGCCAACCTGCACAACCACGGACAGCCTCCCTGATGAGAAATCCTCTTTGTCGTCTACTCAATACATGAGTTCTTACAAACATCCCTACCTCTTAAAGGGGCAGTGCTTCACACACTAGAATACAGGCAGTGCTTCTCTGTATTTTGATTTATTATCACTTCTCAAGTTTTGGCCTAAATATGATGTTCACGCATTTTCCTTTGGGTACAATTTAGAATTAAGTGCTTGTGTTCAGAATGTGGCCTTGTGAGTGAAAATTTAGAGACTAGCTGGATAAAGGAGTGAATTTTCTTGGGATCTGTTTTCAGGTAGGATAGAAGGAAGAACAGTAGGTATAAGAATAGTTAATGGAAATCTCACTAATTTTCCACAATATAAGTTAAATTAATAAAATATTTCATCTATTAATAAAAAGGATACATTCTAATAAATATGTCCATTCATTCATTTATTCAATAAATATTAGGAATGACTGTTATAGGCTGGGCATTTAGTAGTGAACCAGACATGGCCTCTGCACTCATGGGATTTCTCTTGGTATAAGCAGACAGAGAACCATCAACCACTGTGCTACCTGCTATGACAGAAGTATTAGAAAATGACCTGAGAGCTCACAGAGAGGGCCAGTGATCTATTGTGGAGGCCGCACAGGGTGGGAAAGGGATTCCAGAGGTAGCTGATATGTCAGCTCAGATCTCAAGGGGGTACAGAAGTTTCCAAGTGCAGAAAGGGTGGGATAGGTGTGGAGGAGCAGGGACTGGAGGGGAAGGAGATTGCTCCAAGTAAAAGAACCAACACTACAGGGAGAATTAAGGACTGTGGATGGCGTGGTGATGGCCAATCAATATTTCTGTCTAACATGAGCCAGGTACTTCCTGAAATCTATAAAGAATACTGTTTGGGTCCTGCCCCAGATAGTACAGAAATTATTAACAAAAACATCACCATAGATGTAATATATGTTTTACTAAGGTCTGTAGAGTCAAAAGAGTTATAAACTCTATTGTCAGAGATGCCCCTAGAGCAGATATGTGGGACAGGAGCACAGAATGCGGTGCCTTCCCCACCCCATCCCCATGAGCTCTGCTTGCCACAGCATGGCCCTACTATCAGAATTTAACTGCGTCTCTACCAGGCTCCTTCTGCCCAAAGGAATTTTGTTCCCAGTTCATTTGTTCATCAGAGCATCACAAAGGCAGGTTTCTGGAACTCAGACATTCAACTTTAATTATTTTATCAGCTGAACTACCACTCAGGCCATGCGTGGCTGACTAGAAAGATCAGTTACAGTGAACTTCACAAGTTGCAAATTCAGGTTTATAATCGACAGCTAGGACAGCAAGTGAAGACATCAGTAACCAAGCAAAGGAAAATGAAGTCTTGCAATCTTTTTCATTTAGGCATGACTACAATAGGTATGTTTGGTCAATGCCTTCTGCAGGTCATTGTGAGAAAATTCTTAGCCTTCTCACTAGATTGTTGTTTCGATCACCCACAGGGCCTAGCTCCAAACACTGCTCATAGTAGGCAGTCAATAAATATTTGTAGAATCAATACTAAGTTCCAAGTAAATGAGTGCCAGAGAAATTTCAGATGTTGGATGGTTGAACAACTCCTTTGCCTGGGTTCCTTCTCATAGGGAACAAAGCACTGGACTGGGAAGTGATGCTCACCACAAGCACACTGGCTATCGATCCAGAGGGAGAGCAGCCGTACAGATGCTTCCCAAAGCAAAATGCAACAAGTAGAGAGGTTATTGTTGATCTTAGGAATCATTCATAGTATCTAGATATTATTGTAATAACATGATCTTTTTAGAAACTTATTTTGAATAAAATCAAAGT